AAACTTGGTCTTGGCTTGCTGGCTGTTTGTGCTGATCTTCTGGGGGAGGGGCCTGTTGCCGTGGTTCCCAAATGTCTTTGCCGGAGGGAGAATTGTCCCGCCCTTGTTGGTCCGGGCTAAGCAAGCTGCTCGGGTTTGCTCTCAGGAACTTTTGTTCCCTGCAAGCTCTTGGTACAGCTTTGGAGGACCAGAGTGAAAATGGTGGCCTCCCAATCTCCACCTGGAGGAGGTGAGAACTCGGGGTCCCACTCCTCAGTGCGGCCCCAGAGAAAAGCAGTCACTCCCGTCTCCCTGGTCTCCGGCCGCACTGAGTGCTCACCCGGCCTGTGACCGAGTGTTTCTATCTCTGGCACCTGACCTGGTGTGGAGTCTCCAAACCCAGCAGATCCCTGCGGTGCGCTGCCGCGCCACTCCTCCCGGGGGAGGTAGGGGAGTCTCCCCGGCTCTGCCGCTTGTTGGGTCCCTGCTGGAGGAGCAGTGGCCAGACTGGGCTGCGGATCACAGTTTATGGCAACCCCGAGCTGAGAGCCCGCGCCTCGGCTCCGTCTCTGCAGCCGGCTTCCCCGCTCCAATACCTGGGAGCTCTGCTGCGCCCAGGCACCCCCGGTCTTTCTGTGACTCCGAGGGTCCTGAGACCACACTGTCCTGCGAGGGTTCCACCCCCCGCTTAGCCACTGGAGCGACGTCCCTCAGCAGAGCCGACTTCTAAAAGTTCCGATTTTGTGCTCAGTGGCTCTATCACTTGCCAGAAGCGGCGGACAGAGGCCCCCTCCCCCGCCGTCTATCCTCCCGAATATCGCCTCGGATTCACTTCTCCGCACGTCCTACCTTCCAGTAAGTGGTTGCTTCTCTGTTCAGAGAGTTGTTGCTACTCTCTTCTTCAGTCTCCTGTTGAGTTTGTAGGTGTTCAGAATGGTTTGATCCCTATTCAGCTGAATTCCTGAGACCAGACGAAATCCAGGTCTCCTACTCCTCCGCCATCTTGCTCCCTTGCCATTCAGTGTTTTGACAGATGTACACATCTGTGTCATTAAAACCTCTATAAACATTACCACATGCCCAGAAAGTTCTCTCATGCTCCTTCCTAGTCACTCCCACCAACCACCACCAAGGCAACCACTATTCTGATAGTTTTCCATCATAGATTAGTTTTACCACTCTAGAATTTTATATAAATATAATCATACAGTATGTACTGTTGTGTCTGGCTTCTTTTATTTAGCATAATATTTTGAGATTCCTTCACATTTCTGTGTATTTTATTCCTTTTATTGCTGAGTAGTATTTCATTGTATGAATATATCATAGTTTGTTTATCCATTCACCAGTAGATGCACATTTGGTGTTTCCAGTGCTTAGCTATCATTAGTAAATCTGCTATGAATATTCTTGTATAAGTATTTGTGCAGAGATATGTCATCTTTCTTGGGTAAATGTCCACTATGGAGTTTTACTCTTAGTTTTCATCTGTATGACTAAAATAGTACTAGCTGAACCAGTTCTCCACCTTTCAAAATTTGAAACTCAAACCTCTTTTGACAAGTCATCCTAATGTTTCTAATAGGGAAGATTGTGTTTCAAGGCTTTGGGAATTATACTGTTAGACATTTATGTTCATCTGTTTATCATTTATTTATTCAGTTATCATTTATTAAGATCCTGTGTGGCAACTGGGAGAATTTTAGTATGATCTGGGTATTAGATATTAAGGACTTACTATTAATTTTGTTAGAGCATTGATGTCATGGTAATCATGATTTTTTAAAAGTCTTCATGCATACTGAAATATGGTGAAAAGTAGACAGGAAATTATTTGTATAATTTCTCATAGTAGTAAACAGAATGATGTGATAGAACAGAGATTTGTCACAAACTAAAGGTGTATGGGATGAATTAGACCCAAGAGAAATTTTGTTTGATCTCTAATGTATCATTTAAAACTTTATATTTGTTACTGATTTTTAACAACTAGAATATTTCCACATGAAAGTCCTTATTTTTGGCTTCTCCTGAAAACTCAGACACTCTGGCAATATTCAGTCTGCATTTTCACATGGCAAAAACTAGCTAAAGCTGAGTAGTAGCCACGCTTTTTAAATAAGGCATGCATTCTCAGGTTCCCTCACAGTTTCCAACGGGCTGCTTCACTCACTACTCACTAGTCCCTGGACCCTTGAATCATTTGTTTGCAGCCCTATGATATAGAGAAGGCTTCTCTGAGGGAATATCTTTTGGTTTGAGACCCGAATAATAAAAACCAGCAGGAAGTAAAGAGCAGAGGGACTAGCATCGAAGGCAGAAGGTACTGCAAGTACAAAAGGCCCTTAGACAGGAGCAAGCTTGCAGTATTAGAACAGCCGGCCAGCCATGTGACTGGAGTATAGCAGGTGGAGAGTGATACCAGTTAAAACTGAGGAGGCAAGCAGAGGCCAGATGATACAGGCCATAGAAAGGAGTTTGGATTTTATTCTAATGGTGTTGGAAGTCCACTGAAGGTTTTAAGTAAAAAGTGATATAATCTGATTTACATTTTAACAGATCATCTGGCTATTCTATAGAGAATATATTATGGGGAACAAGAATGAAAGAGTAAATAATTAGGCATCTGTTGCTGTCATCTAAATTAGAGATAATGGTGGCTTAAACTGGGCAATGATATTACTATATCTTTAAAAACATGCTGGATGAATTAAACATGCATGTCCCTCTCCCTTTTTCTCTGCCTTGATTATAACCATACTTTTGTCATCCCCCCCATTGCTAGACATAAACACAAACTGCTGAATTAGCAGTCCATTATGCTAAATCAATTATATGTGCTTAATGTACACTTCAGATGGAATTATTATATTAGCTCAAATTATTCATGATTTTAGTTGTTTCACTTAATAATAATTACATTAAACATAGTCATACTCTATTGATGAACAGAGAGAAAATGAGAAGAAAAGGAAAATGCCTTTCATTAAAGGAAATAAAGAAAGGAAGGAGAGAAGGAAGGAAGAGGGAGGGAGAATTTTTTTTTATATCAGACTTAAAGAGTGAAGAGAACTCTGAATGAAATAAGGGGTCAGAAAAACTATAGTGGTCACAGTTCTGCCATTCACTTGCTGTGTGATCTTGTGTAAGTCACTTGATATGGCTAAGTCTTTACTTTCTTCATCTGTGAAATGGTCAACTGAATTAATTGTTTTCATATAGGAAAGTTGGAGTAAACAGAATCTAAATGGTTTTTCCAAGATCACTCAAGCAGTTGACAGCATAGTTTGTTTTATAATACCAAATCTTATTATCAGATATCCAGATATGAAAACTTTTCCCTTTACCTTCATCCCCCAGAAGGTGCCTTCAAGATTGATCTAACAGGGAAAAAAATACATACCACAATTCTCTTCTGTGATCTGCCTTTTTCTTGGTAACTTGAGATGAGCTTGACTACCTGTAATCAGTGTATAATAAGCCATCCAGATAGGCTAGTAAGATATATGGTGTCATATTGAGCCCTCACCAATGCTAACCACCTTATTTTTCCTATAGCTGTTAGATTCTGTGACCGGTGCCATTTGATCAAGCCTGATCGCTGCCACCACTGCTCTGTCTGTGCCATGTAAGTGACATCCATATTTCCCCTGGGCTGAGCTTGGACAACAACCTGACTGATCCTAACATGTGACCATGCCTAGATAAGAGCATTTCCTTTCAATCATAATGAACACATGCCACATACCCTCTTAGAATGATGATTATTCAAACTATTCTAAAGATAGGAAAGAGATATAAAACTCCATTTTAAAAATAAATGCTTGGGGTGCCTGAGTGGCTCAGTTGGTTGAGCGTCTGACTCTTGATTTTGGCTCAGGTCATGATCTCAGGGTCCTGGGATGGAGCCCCACGTCAGGTTCCACACTCAGTGGGGACTCTGCTTCTCCCCCTCTCCCTCTGCTCCTCCCCCTGCTCACACTCTCTCTGTCAAATAAAACTTTTTTAAAAAATTAAAAAATGGGGTGCCTGGGTGGCTCAGTTGGTTAAGCATCTGTCTTCAGCTCAGGTCATAATCACGGGGTCCTGGGATCGAGCCCTGCATTGGGGCTCCCTGCTCAGCAGGGAGCCTGCTTCTCTCTCTACCTCTGCTGCCCGCCCCCGCTTCTGCTTTCTCTCTCTTCTGCTCGCTCTCTCTCAAATAAATAAAAAAACTTAATAAATAAATAAATAAATAATTTTAAAAATTAAAAAATAAAAATAAATGTTCTGTCTCAGAACAGTTTTAGATTTATAGAATTATTGTGATGATAGTTCTCATATGTCCTACATCCAGTTTCCCCTATTATCAACATCTTACATTAATATGATACATTTGTTACAACTAATGAACCAACATCAATACATTATTTTTAATTGAAGTCCATACTCTGTTTAGAATTCCTCAGTTTTTCTCTAATGTTCTTTTCCCATCCAGGATACCACATTACATTTAGTTGGCATGTCTTCCCAGGTTCTTTTAGCTCTTACAGTTTTCTTAGACTTTACTTGTTTTTGATAACCATGACAGTTTTCAGGATTTTAGGATTAATGATCAAGTATTTTGTAGAATATCCCTCAGTTGGGATTTGTCTGATATTTTTCTCATGATTAGACTTGGGTACTGTGTTTTGGGTAGGAAGAGCATAGAGGTAAAATACCATTATCATTGTATTGTATCAAGGGCACATATTATGAACATGACTTATCACTGTAATATTAATCTTGATTATCTGGCTGAGGTAGTGTTTGTCAGATTTCTCTAATGTAAATTTAGTCTTCCTCTGCTGCTTCCTTTACCCTTGGGAAGGAAGTCACTATGAATAGCCCAAACTAAAGGAATGGAAAATTATGCTCCCCCTCCTTGAAGGTAGAATATCTACATAAATTGTTTGGAATTCTTCTTGAGAGATTTGACTCTTCTCACTTATTTGTTTATTTTTCATATAAGTATATAGGCATGGATAATCACTTTATATTTTGGGTTATACCTCAATACTACTTTATTTTGTTACTCGAATTATTCCAGCTTTGTAAAGTCACATCGGTATGTTAATAAATATAATCTTCATGTCCTTCTTGGGTGTTATGTTCCACCCATATTTCTCTTACTATTGATTCAGAGAGATCTTTCAAAAGATCAGAAATAGCCAAAGTAAAAATAAATCACCAGAGTAGTAATTAGTAATTTTTTTAATTTTTTTTTGAAGATTTTATTTATTTATTTGAGAGAGATAGCACAAGCAGGGGAGGGGCAGAGAGAAAGAGAGAAGCAGACTCCTGGCTGAGCAAGGAGCCCAACGCAGGGCTCAATCCCAGGATCCCAGGATAATGAACTGAGCTGAAGACAGACAATCGACTGAGCCACCCAGGGGCCCCTAATTAGTAAAATTTTATTGTGTACACACCAGAAGGACAGTTTGCAAACCAGGAGCACTCAAACCAAAACATAAAATGAGGCTTGAGATATATTGTTATAAAACAGCTTATATAGTGAGAAAACAAGGCCTTTTTATTCTTCACAGTGGTTAGAATATTCAGAACTTTCTTAAATGATAGAGAATTGGTCAGTGGTTACTTTATACCAACCTTAGAAAACAGTTTAAATTTTACTAATGATTTCCAGAGGCATAAGCAAGAAATGACCCAGGTCAAGTCAGTCTTATAAAATAAGCTAAATTAAGCTTTGCTTGTATGACTAAACTGGTTTTGTCAGCTTGAGAAATTTTTAAGGATGGTCTCCATTTGTCTTTTATTTTAATAGACTGTAGCCATATGTTTTCTTCTGTATTTTTATTAATCTGTATATTGAGCAAAATGAGGGGAGATATCTTAGACTTCTAGGCATGTAACTTGCTGCCAGTATAATCCTATAAAGTGTTGTGATTGACTCATCCAAGAAATAACTGAGAACAAAATAATTTTGCAGTAGCTTATAGTGGAAATCTAGGAATGAGTGTACTGGTACCATGTAAAAATACTGGTGAGACTTGAGTTCAATTATGAGGTATTACTTCATTTCCGTAGCTCCACTTATCACACTGTATTTTGTTTCTTTTGTAGGTGTGTATTAAAAATGGACCATCACTGCCCGTGGTATGTACCTTTGATTCATTTCTTTACTCTGAAAGGGTCAAAGTTGCTCAAAATGCCTATTTTCCTAAGCATAGTTGTAACATGTTTGTTTCTCTAACCATAAATCACTGGGTCTTGTATGTACATGGGGGACAGGGCAGGCATAACATTTTAAAGAAAAAATAAATATACCACCAAAGGTGTGGTAGTGAATTCCTCATCTCACAAAACTAATGGTCTTTTGTCCATTAGCTTTAGTAATTGGGTGTAGTAATGAAATCAAGCACAAATAGTTCTCTTCTTTGACATTATACAATTCAGTTCTGTATTTAGTTGTCTTGGTGTTTGAAATATTCTAGATCGTTAACTTCAGCAATTCTCCAAATTTTGTATGTCTGACCTAGAGAACCAGTCTGAAACCATCTAACTACAAAGAGAACATGCCACACTGTACTAAGTGTAGCTGTTGAGATTGTAATAGGTTTTTAGCATCCAAGATTCAGGTTTTCTTGGGTGGGTCAGGAACCAGTCCAGAACAATTAAGTAGGCCAGGTGTCTCTATGCCTGTAAATGAAAAGAGAAACAAGTGAGACATGAACTTGTTTTTCTAGTCTGTTTCTATTAAGGGACTTCTATTCTGTTGAGTTTCTACACAACACATAATGAAGCAGCAAGAATAACATCCTTCCATTGCTTTGTTCACTTATGTATCAGTGTGTTCTCAATCAATGGATCCTGATTTCAAATTACGTTTTCTTTTTTTCTTTTTTTTAGGGTTAATAATTGCATTGGATTTTCCAACTACAAATTCTTTCTTCAGTTCTTAGCTTATTCTGTTCTCTACTGCCTGTACATTGCTACAACAGTCTTCAACTATTTCATCAAATACTGGAGAGTAAGTTAAATAACCCTGAAAGGTCACCCCCAAAACATACATTTGTGACATTTTTCAACTTTCCCTTTTACATTTTGAAATAGCTAATACTAAGGTAACCAGAAAGGAAGCCACCAAAAACAAGTTTCCCATGTGGAATATTCTGAGATTTAGGAGTTTGTTATTTAAGGATTCCACTTAAACTTCTGTCATACATGAGAATCTTGTTAAGACCTTTGGGAACCTAACCTCTTGACTCTTAGTGATTCTTTACAATGTATTTACCTAGTCAAGTTTAAAATACCCACTTCTTACCAATTATAGATTTTTAAATGTTGAAACTAATTTTGAATCTCTAGTTTCCTAAGAAAAATGCTAACAAAATATTCCCTCATTGTCAGAAAATACTTTCTCATTTCCTGTTCAAAGGAGAGTTGCAAAATTCCTACTGGACAAAAAGATTCATTGACTCATCTTCGCACAGGACCAAAATGAAATGGGGAGTCTTATTTGAGCTTTGTATAACAAACACTGGGTTGGGAATTAGGAAAACTGAGTTCTAATACTGGCTCTGTTACCTGCTTCGCTGGCTCATTGCCAAGGTTAAATGAAACATATGTTGAAAGGTAAAGTATTTTTACCTTCTTAATGATTTTGATGATTAGAGTGAAATCTAAAAGAGAATTTCACATTTCTTCTACTTGAAAATTTCAACCATATCCCATCTATTTCCAAACGAATTGAAGGCAGATTTTTACTTTACATATGTGTGTGGGGTCTGGCAGCAGTATAGTGAATTTTTTTTTATTTCATGTCAATGGACTCCAGAAGATATCCCTTCCCCACAATTCCAGTACAGTAGTTAAAATATCATAACCTTCCATGATGAGGGTTGTCCAAACTGAACCTAAATAGCAAAAGACAGATGTGGGTAGAGCTATTAGTAATTACTGAAGGAATTGTACAGGAGCCCATATAATAGGAATATCTCAAGTCAAGTGAAGAGGTAAAGCAACAGGGAAAGAATGTGAATCCTGTGACCAGACTAAAGATTATAATAAAGTGGAGAACAAAGAAAGACAGGCAGTGAGAACCTAAATACCTGAGAGTAGTTAAATTATTAATTAATGCTTTGATCCCTACTAGTGTAGAAAATATAGTATAAAAAATTACAGTGATATGTGCTTTCCATTTTCCCAACTTTCTTAATCAATTCAGATATTTAATAACTTTAAGAATCAGGAATTATGGGGCACCTGGGTGGCTCAGTCAGTTAAGTGTCTGCCTTCAGCTCAGGTCATGAATCCAGGGTCCTGGGATCAAGTCCTGCATGGGGCGCCCTGCTCAGCAGAGAGTCTGCTTCTCCCTCTGCCACTACCCACCCTCTGGCTTGTGCACTCTCTCATGCTCTCTGTCTCTCTCTCTCTCTCAAATAAATAAATAAATAAGAATCAGGAATTATATAATGTACATCAAAATCTTCAACTCAGGGACACCTGGGTGGCTCAGTCGGTTAAGCCTCTGCCTTTGGCTCAGATCATGATCCCAGGGTCCTGGGATTTAGCCCTGCATCAGGCTCCTTGCTCAGCGGGGAGCCTGCTTCTCCCTCTTCCCCTTCCCCTGCTCATTCACACTCTCTCTCTTTCTCTCTGACAAATAAAATCTTTAAAAAAAATCTTCAACTCAGAGATACAAAAATATAAGCAGAAATGAAGTTTTCTCATAAATTTTCCCCAAATACAAAATGATTCATTATTTTGGCATCTCTTCTTTGGCTCCTTTCCACATCTCAGTATCTCTTATCTATTGCTCAGGTTTTCATGACCTGTTTGGCATCCCATTCACACACTGAGCTACTACCCTGAATGTAAAGAAAATCTACTGTATCCAATTCAGCCGAGAAAGTGTCAGCCTCGGTCTTCACTATAGACCTTACTTGGTCTTCCAACAGGGTAGGCTACTGTTTAAGAACTCATAACAGAGTAAACAATGTTGCATTTTACACATTTTGCCTTGGCCCTCCAACTCAGTCAATCATCAAATACCACAATGCCATCCAGGTGCTGTACACTTTTTTTTTCACTCTTGAAAGATAATATCTGGATGTGAATTAATTACCAAAACTATGCCAGTATTCACGAGCACAAGATGAGCATAGACTTGTCTTTTTCCTATTCCCTCATTTTTCCTCTAAAATAGATTAGCTCATGCCTAACAGATGGGACATAAGAAAACCTGTCTTGGTTTGCTCTCATAATGAAAAGGGCATTGATGATTCAGAAAAATGCTTCTATGCAGTATCTCCAGCCAGAAAGCACTTTGGGGTGGTTTAGAGATGGCTTTCTCAGTTTAAATTGAGTCTCACCTTAAAATAAAAAGTAAACACTGCCATGTATTTTAAAAAACCGTGTATCAAGGTGACTAGCGGTTCTCCTAAGAACAGCAACCTCTATTTGTATGATCCTTTACCATTTTCAGAGCACTTTCATATCCTATTATCTCATCTTCTCCTCACCACAACCTTATAAAGTACACAAAACAGGAATTATAGTCTCATTTAAAAATGATAAAACTGGGGTTCATAGTAGTTAAGTGACTTGCTCAGGATTACCCAGCTTGTAAGTTTCAAAGTCAGGACTGGAGGCTATCTGACCCTAAGCCCAGAGATCTTAAAACACTATACCATATCCTACTGCCCATTATCGTCCTGCTATGGAGAAGATATAGCTCCTTTGGAATAAAGAATTCAGAAGACAATGATCAGGTCATGTTTTTCCTCTATATATTAACTTGAAGAGTAGCTACTTTGATAGGAAATTGATCTTTTACCTTATGAAAAAAGTAGTAATATACACCTTCCACACTGGGCCATGAATCTCTTCACAGAGACTATGAATTATTTTAGAACCAAGATAGTAGTATTATTCTACCAGTATTCCCCTGAACTGTTTCTGGTGGTTATTGCTTTGAGTAATTTAGCTTGGTTATCTCCCGGGAAGGTAATTTCAAACACAGGGCCGTCAACCTCTTCTAACAAAACAAAAAGAAATGGGGGGGGGGCTTTATCAAGGGATATCCTTTGGCAGACAAAAGACAGTTCTACAAAAGTAATTAGGGGAGGAAAAGACTTCCAGCTTAGCTACCCAGGGTGTGAACTGACTTTCTGTCTGTCCCTCTTGCCTAGACATTTCCTATTGCCCATTTAAATATGAAAGATAAGAAGTAAAATAAATGTAAGCTTTAAAAGCTTTAACAAACATACTCAAGAACTAGAGATTATGAAAGCAAAAACCTAGCTAGGCAAAACCCACTACAAAACAATATATAAATTTTCCTATAAACTCAAAACAAAACAAACACAAGCCAATCAAATTTAGTTTGGGAGCTTAGGCCAAGATTTTGTGGAGGGATCATTTCAGAAAGGAGCTTCAGATGAAGTTTTCTGAAGGTTGAAGTCCTTGAGGTAACTATGTCCTGGGGTGCTCTACCCCCATGCAAATTTTACCCAGACTACTCATCAGCAGAAAACATCTGACTGACTGACTTCCCCTTATCTTCATCCTTCAAACATATATACTCTGAACAATCCCCAATATTTCCTTACATCAAAATGAATAAAAATCTTCTCTAAGAAAAAAATCCATGCTATCTGAATTTTCCAAGTGTTTCCAAGTCTTAATTTTTTCCGTCCAAACTGAAGTAGAACCAGATCCTAATGTTAAGGTCCACTTCAATCAAGAATCACCTTTAACTTTACTACTCAAGAGCATTTGGAAATACTTTAATACAATTCATCATGCCAAAAAAAATGATCAGCACAGGAAAGGGGGAAATAAAAAACTTCTCTCAACTGCTCACTCCAAAACTGAAAATGTTTTCTAAAGTTCTCTTCAGAAGATAAAATGTGCATGCTGGTTTAGGGCTGCATGTAAAAAAAAGAAAGTTGGAGCCACATGGAAAATAAGATGTCCCAGATAACTATAAAAGTCTTTAGCTACCTACTTTTACAATTGCCTGTCAAATCCTGCTTGATTTTACTGTCTAAAGAGCTATTTCACAGAATTTGATATATCAACACCTTCTACTTCAACTGTAAAAAACATCCACACAAAATTTTCACTAGCTTTAAAGTCGGGTTATAACATATGGGTAGAGCATTTTGAAATTCTACCTATGTGTTTTAACTTCCTACAGGTATCATTGTGATGTTTTCAACATACATATGTCCAAGGAAACATGATATATAAAGTATTTCAGAATAACCCATCTTGAGACAAGAGGATGAACCATATGACCTCAAGATCACCTCTGGCCAGTGATTCATAATTTGCAAACTAAATGGAGTACTAGCCTTAAGAGGTTGCATACCAATTATGGCCTGAATATACCCTTCTTATACTACTAGTATTCTCTAATTGCTGCAGTATATACTCTGTTTTACACTGAACTTAATCAAGGATCCATTTTAGGCTTTGTAGGCTGAAAGCATATCCATAATGAGGTATGGTCATCAACAGAAAGAACTTTTATAAAAATTTTATAAAATCTGTTTTTTTAATTATAGCTAGACATTTTATACATATGAGAAAAGTGCTAACATACAGAAAAACTAGCCAAGCCTTATCACTTTAATCCTGTTTCTATTTGTTTATTATTTCTGTTCTAGGGGGAATTGCCCAGTGTTCGCTCAAAGTTCCATGTTCTTTTCCTCCTCTTTGTGGCCTGCATGTTTTTTGTCAGCCTTGTGATTCTCTTTGGTTACCATTGTTGGCTCGTCAGCAGAAACAAAACCACCTTAGGTAAGACTGGATATTAAGATGAGGGAAGAAACACATTAATGTATATCATAGTGGCATATGGATTGTTCCCAAGGAAGAGGAAAAGTTCCAGTGAAGCATTTTATTTGTAGTGACATTCCTTTGCTTACAAACTGAGACAGATGTAAACACGTTTAACCAAACTGGAGAGCCATAGTGAATGAATAAAGCGTTATTGAATGAAACCTCACACAAAACCAAAATGGATCATTACTCTTTATAATTCACATTGGGTAATAACTCCCCAAATTTATAGCTTGAAAAATTTCTAAAAGGTGTTCACATGAGGAAGTGGAGGAAAAATCAGTACAGAAGGGAACATCAGAAGGGAGAGGTGAAGGTTAATAAAGATAGAAGACTCTAAATTATTGAGGGCATCCAAAGACAGAGTGCTGAGAAAGAATCCAAACCAACAAATCACTGGATATCTACAATCATCAAGGAGCTGTGGAGGACTGGGAATATGATAAATACACTGAATAAGTGAGTTTCTAGAAAATGAGTACAAGAAATGAACATTTTTTTTCTGTTACTCTATACTCCAGGCTGTTATTTGGAGAATTATGTTTCTGCTGGATTCCACTGTAACAACTTTACTTCATCTATAGTAAAACAAATATTTTCATTGTATACAAATAAATGCATGAGGAGTGAGGAGAAAGTGTCCCAATATTGAATGTTTAGCTAAGATAGATTAGTACAAAAGCCGCTATACATTTGGAACTCATTTACTAATAATGCTAACAGCTAAGAAAATATTTACACTCCTTTTCTAAATCATATATCCATAGCACTTAGTTGCTAGGGTGGTAGATCAGCACATTTGGCTTAGACATAACTACAAAGTAGAGAAGGACTAAAAACTTCACGATAACAGAATTTGAAAACAAAGAACAAACGGGAAATGGCTAGATGCAGCCGGTCCAACAGTGAAAGTATTTTTTGCTTAATGGGTAAATGCGTGTCTAAAAATAATGTGCACTAACATGGTCCAACTCCTCAGTCTTTGAGGTGATTATAGTTCATCTGTTGACATTTTTACTGGAGTAAAACTCAGTTTCTTACATTCGCAGGTTTCAGTGTAAACATCTTCATTTCTGAAATGTTTCAAAACCAAATCAATGTCATTACCAACTCTTTATGCATCATTACTTTAGTCCCAGCTCTAAAGATGGAGACCATTGGGCTGCTGCTGCCACTTAGATTCAAATAAAATACTGTTAAATTTGTTCTTTCATGCCTTACAATGCAGCAGCACAAAATATATAGTTCCCCGATGGCTGCTTAATTATTTCTACCATTATGTGATTCTTCTGCCTTTAAAAAAAATAGAGTACCAATTCTTTGCATTTAATAACAAAAAGACTTTGTATTAAGTAATGAAACTTGTTTTTACTAAGTAATTTAACAATAACTAAGGATGAAAGGCCAATGCTACCACAGCAAAAAGATATTGTAGCATCAAGTCACATTCATGGAGAACTGTAAGATCATGATAGTCCTGAACTTTGTTCCTTTACTGCTTTCTTCCTCTTTTCTTCAACTCCCCTACCCTGCCCTAGAGGCCTTCTGTACTCCAGTGTTTACAAGTGGCCCAGAGAAAAATGGGTTCAACCTTGGCTTCATCAAAAATATGCAGCAGGTGTTTGGAGATAACAAGAAGTTCTGGTTAATACCTATTGGGTCCAGGTAGGTAATTATTACCACTGAAAGAAGTTGATGGTGGACCATGCCTTGAAATAGGAAATTCTGTTTTAATTGTAGTTTGCAACAAATAACAGTCCAGTAAAAAACTCTATTCCCCAAGTTTTTTTTATTTCTAGGTTAATAAAGAGAAATTAGGTGAGGGTATGATAAATAGACATTCTCATGCTTTGTGACAGTGTAAACTGGTACCACTCTTTTATAAATGAATTTGGTAATATGTATCAAAAATCATAAGAATCCACATGTCCATTGTCCTGTAATTCCACTTCTAAAAATCTATCCTAAAAACAAACAAACTAGGCGTAAAAATATTCAATACAACAGTATTTCCAGCCAATAATTAGGAAACATCCATCCTAAACATTCAACAATATGCTATATATATCCCCACTGACTGGAATATTATGTAGTCATAAGTAATAGTTATTAAAACTATGTCACAGTAAAGGGAAATGCTCACTCTGTTTTAAGTGAAAAATGTAGAATTGAAATGGTATATACTCTGTGATCAAAAATATATACAAAAATATGTACAAATAAATCAGAAGAAAACAACAGAGGGGACATCTACCCTAAAAATGCTGTAAGTGGATAAGTGGTACCAGTTGGTGTTTCACAGGCTCATTTATTTAAGCTCTGTGGTGTATCCTACTATCCTGGCTATAAAGCACAAGACAAAACTGTGTTGGTGGGTAATGTTGATTAATAACTGTTACCAGCAATTATTTGCACCCCACTAACACACATACACAAATACACACTATCACTACATCAAAGAGAGGTCTAAAATGAGTCTTCTCTGAAATAAAAAAAAAAAACAAAAATCAAAGCCCATTCACTTATAATCAGTATACTTACATCCTCTGTAGAGAACTATCACTAAAATCTGTCAACTTTCAGTTAACCACAATTATGAACAGGAGAAAAGGCATAGGTAATATAAAATGAGTAATCCAAAAGTCACTCAGGTATAAATTTGCAATGCATTCAGATATATATACTCAAATGTTCAAACTGTAGCCCACTCTAGCCAGAACTTAGTTCCCTCCAATGCATCCCATCTGTTGGTGGACAGAGATTCACCAAGGAGGTAGCCCTAGATTACCAAAGATATCCACAAAGTGGATCCCACGTGAGGGTAATTGCCCCCAAAATCTGCACTCCTAGAGATGCCTCACTCTGACTGTTTCCCATAGTTCCTAATAACCTTTCTGCCATACAAGCCAAATAATGGGACATTCAGACATTAATATCTATCACCAATTCACAGCAACTTATCTCCAATATATCAATGATTCTGAATCTGCTAATTTTTGTTGAAAATTTAGAACCAAAGCAATAAGATAGTTGGATATAAATTCGGATGATCATTAAATGATATTTATGAAGCCTGCAATATGTGCATATTGCCATAACTGGGCATTGTGGGAGACAAGTTTAACAGTTGCTTACAAACCAAAACAGTAGACAATGATGCAGACAAACAAGACATAGAAATTAAAAGCAATACAGCAACTAAATGATGCTGTTGTAAAACCCAATTCCACCATGGCTTTAGTGAATAAGCTAAATGGTTTAAATCTTTGTAAGAAACCAGTCCTATTTCTAAGAGGGTTATTAGATTCACAAAAAGTCTATGTCAGCTGCAAGAGTTCACTGCCTTCCTTTCCCCAACAGCCCTGGTGATGGACACTCCTTCCCTATGAGGTCTATGAATGAATCACAAAACCCACTGCTAGCAAATGAAGAGCCCTGGGAAGACAATGAGGATGAAAACCGAGGTAAGGAGGCTCAGAAGGAAGTCTTTTCTGCACCCAGCAGAGCAAGCACTACTAAAGACCATGTTAATACAACCAAAGTAGTGTAGTGAGAAAACAGTGTCCAGAAAGATTACATAAGCATGTCAACCTCATAAGTGCCCTTTGGGTAGAGAAGGGTAAGTATGGCCAGATTTGTGTAGCAAATACAGGTGGCTTAGGTTGGATTAGATGGCAGCTTGGAAGGTTTCTTAACAGTTTTGTGAGACCATGATTTATAACCAATCAGATAAGTCAGGAAACATAATAAACAGTGCTGTGTATATTTGTAAACAATCCTGCCATTTGGTCACTCATGGTGCTTTGCTTGAATTAATTTAATCAGTGGACAGCAGCTCACCTTTCTCTACCCTAATTTATTCACATTGGTTAAATTTTCTTTATTTTTTTTAAGATTTTGTTTATTTGAGAGAGAGAGTGAGTGAGAGAGAGAACACAAGCAGGGGCATAGGGAGAGGGAGAGGCACACTCCCCTGCTAAGCAGGGAGCCTGATGAGGGGCTTCATCCCAGGACCCTGGGATCATGACCTGAGCCAAAGGCAGACACTTAACCAACTGAGCCACCCAGGTGCCCCTAAATTTTCTTTAAAATATCATTCCCATTCTCTCTTAGAATGGTTTAAATACACAAAGAAATATAGGATATGTAGGCAAGCCTACACGGCATGTAGTCTACTTTTCTAAAAGGCAGAGCACAAAGGAAAAATGAGGAAGCAGAACTTTGTCCTTCCACCTTTCTCCCACCAGATTTTTGGATCATAATGAGATTGGTGTGTGTGTGTGAGTCTGTGAAAAGCTTTAAGTTAAGTTCTCATGTCACATACCCCTACCATCACCTATTCTTTGTCTCCACGTGATGTTATGCTTACAACTGTGCCTCCAGCATGTGTTTATGTTGCTAATACCAGGCATCAAAGTGTAATTTTTACCAGCTAATCCCAATAATACAATAGCTGACAAAAATTTTGAGTGAGAAATTGTAGTACTTGTCAGAAACTATACCTGGGGTGAATGAGGCTGATGAGGACACAGAAAAGCATTGAGATGAGGAGCAGAGATGGGAAGCATGCTTTTATAAATGTTTGCTCATTTAATTTTCTAGGTCCAAGGTTTCTATCTCGAAGTCCCTTTTTAGAGTAAGGCAGATTGCTAGGACTAAGGAAGATAAAACATTCAAAATTCACAGTTACAAAGGGAAAGAGTTCTTGCCCAGCCGACTGGGCATCTCCCATATCGACTCCTGCTGAACCTTCATTGAAAAACTGACTGTATTTTGACTTACCTTCCTTCAGCTATCATTCTTTCCATTTTTCTCCTTCAAGTTTCTATTTAAATTCAACTAGTTAATACACAGTGTAATATTAATTTCAGGTATAAAATTTAGTAATTCAACACTAAATAAAGCACAGGGTGCTACCACAACATGTGCCCTCCTTAATCCCTATCACCTATTTAACCCATCACCCAAACACTTCCTCTCTGGTAACCATCAGTTTGTTCTCTATAGTGAAGAGTCAGCTTCTTGGTATTCCTCTCATTTTTTCCCCCTATGTTTGTTTTGTTTCTTAAATTCCACATGAGTTGGGGGGAGGAGCAAGATGGCGGAGGAGTAGGAGACCTAAATTTCGTCTGGTCCCAGGAATTCAGCTAGATAGGAATCAAACCATTCTGAACACTTATGAACTCAACAGGAGATCGAAGAAAAGAATAGCAGCAACTTCTGAACAGAAAAGTGACCACTTTCTGGAAGGTCTCTTCTGATTTGTTTAGTGTATATTTTTTGGGGTCGTTGTGACCCTGTTAGCGTTTTGTTCTCTCATTCATCTATTCTTCCCTGGACAAAATGACAAGATGGAAAAAATCACCTCAAAAAAAAGAACAAGAGGCAGTACCGACTGCCAGGGACCTAATCAATACAGACATTAGTAAGATGTCGGAACTAGAGTTCAGAATGA